GGCAGAGTCCAGTGGTCCTCACTGGGCACGCAGACGCTTCTTGGGCTGACAACCAGGCTACGCAGCGGTCGTCACAGGGTTACACCTTCAGCCTTGGTTCCGGCTCTGTTTCGTGGCGGGCTACCTGCTGTCTTCTGTTCTCGGCTCCTGTTGTGAGGCTGAGATCTACGCCGGGGCCATGGCTGCACAGGAGCTTCGCTGGCTCACCTACCTGCTGACTGACCTCGGAGAGCCGCCCCGTTCTCCTCCAGTGCTGTACGTAGACAACAAGGCCATGCTGGCCTTGTGTCGAGAGCAGAGACTGGAGCACAGAACGAAGCACATTGCTCTCCGCTACTTCCTTGCTCGTGAGCTACAGCAGCGTGGTCAGCTGCGGCTTGCGTACGTGGCCTCTCAGGCCAACACTGCTGATATCTTCACCAAGGCACGTGCGCCTTGTGATCATCAGCGTTTCTGTACTCAGCTGGGCCTTGTGCCTACCTTGCCTCACTTGCTCACCCCTTGACCTTGTTTGTACTGTTGCATATATATATACACCTGCTCTTGCTTGTCTAGCCTTATATATATATGTAATCCTGCATGTGAACTGGCCTTGTGGCCTTGAACTTGTGCTCGGAATGTGTGGTGACTTTGTGATCCACCCTGAGCTTGCTTTGCTTTGCTTGACTGGTCTTGTGACCCCTTGTTCTCCCCCACTTTGCCTATGGGGGTGTGTCAGATTTATATGACAGAGCTACTGTAGGCTATAGTGGGGTAGCACATATGGGGTACAGTTTTCTAGGGTTTGCATTTGTACCCAACTTTCCCTTAGTTATTCCCATTCCTCGTTTCTTCTCATTTTAGCCAATTGCATGGCCTATAGCTGCAAAAAAACAACTTTAAATACATCCAAAAGGAACCTTAATACGTCCTTCATCAACTTCTGTAAACCCCCCCCCCCCCTGAAAACGACCTCCAGATTCACATATTCCACTAATACAACATTACAAGGAACCAATTGCATTGAACAAGTTAGACAAACAGAGAATACTTCAACTGTACTGCTAATTTTTCGTACTCATAGGCAACTTCTGACAATTTCGCGTCTGTCGTCAACGTCAACCGTCAGTCGTCAGACTTCACTGATAGCGACGGGGTTACAAATTCCCCGTCAACTGTTCACCTTTTTAAAATGTTTGGCGAAAGGGTTACCCTTCGCCAATTATCTATCTGGAAATAGGTAAAACGGCCAAAACGTGGGTGTAGCTGGGTCGGGAAAAAAAATTTCGCGTCTGGCAAATCGGGGGAGTGGGTCTAGTCTGGTCTAACCGCCCGAGCCGCGCTTTCCCCGAGGCCACCCACATCTATTTCGGGGAATGATATAGGCGAAAACCTGGCTAGGCGAAGACCTCGGGAAACGAGGCTCGGAAGTTTGGCGAAAGGTGCGGGGGCGACTCGGGGGTGGTTTGGCGCGGTTTGAATGCCGAACCACCTGCCGCATACACCACGGAGCAGTACGCGATAAAGTTTGATCACAGTAAGTATTAATTCCTTCTAGTTTTTGTGTGCATCTCCAATTCCCAAGTTCATACTCAATAAGTATGATACAGTTAAGTTTGTAATTCTTTCCAGTTTTGTGCGATACAATAGCACCCAATAGTTCTACGATAGAAAAAAAATCATTTGTTTTCGAGCTATTCTCCCACAATACTATCAACGTGAATTGTGCAACTCACATTGATTCTGCCCAGTCAATCAACAAGAGGTGGAATGCATTATTCAGCACCATCTGCCTCACCATCAAGCTCCTCACCTTCACACTTTTGCTTTCGCTGCCTCCACCCCATCAAACGCACCTGTACAAACGCACAAGTTCCCTTGCCACAAGGCCTGCAGGTCATTTCCTGCACTTGCATGCCGCAATGCCTCAGTTCCTGAAGCAGACTCAAGCGCCTGTGAACTGGCAATTTCGAGAACATGTAAAGCACAAGCCACACTCAACGCGAACACAGGTCATGCTCCTTGCCCTCGCACGCTCGCACTGCCCCCGCTCACCCCCCGTGAAAGTGCCTTGCCAATGCTTCCCAGGTTCTTGCGCAACTCATAATGACCCCTTGGTGTATCGTGTTGTCCCCTTCTGTCACACGCATCATCTCTTGCTGCCTGCCACCTCCTCTCCTCCTCCACCTCCCTCTGACGTCTCTCCTCCTCGTATCTCTTCGCCGTCCTCCCCTCCTTCGTCTCCAACTGCTTCCCCTTCTGCTCTTGTCCCCCCTGCCACCTCCTGCCCTATGGCTTACCCTCAGAAAACCCTCGACTCGATGTTCACCGCCCTCGGTCCCCCTTCCTTTGCAGCGAGTTCTCACATATCGTGACATCGCAGCTCCTCAGCTCTGTATCTTTGCTTTCCTGCTCTCATAGCCAGTACGGGCGCTGCTGTTGGTGTGAGAAGGTTAGTGAGTGGGGGAGAGGGCAAAGAGGGAGGGTAGTGCGGGCGTACGGGAAAGTAGCAAGGAGGGGAGAGTGGAAACGAGCTTACGGTTAAGCACCAGCGTTGAAATTTATGTTTCCATCAGCAAACGAGCGCCAGAAGAACCATAGCGGGTGCAAAGGAGAGAAGCGCGGCAGAAAAAAATGGAAGAAGCGAGATAGTGTGAGCAGGTGATTCACTTCCGCCTATTCGGCTGCTCTCGCCCTGCCTGCCGTTAGGTGAGAAGCAACCTGCACCCATGGCATGTGATGATGCCATGTGTTCGCACCTCAGTTTATTAAAGTGGAGACTAAAGGCCTCGCATGATCATCATCACGCAATGAGTTAACACCACTTACACAAGGTCATACCACAGCTGCTGCCTGGCCCTTCGCCCCCATGCCTCCCCACTCACCTGCATGCATCCACTTCTCGCGTGAATGTACTCTCGTGCCTCTCTGACGGGTACTGCGAGTGTGGGTAGGGACGGGGGGGAATTTGCGGGAAAAAAAATGCCCTGCTGTTGTTCACTTGGAAAGCGTCAGCTGCAAAGGCGGCTGCATCAGTTCCACATGCTTCCACGATGCAGCCGTGCGCGACATAAGCCAAACTTCACTCTCATATCACGCTCCTCGTCAAACCCACACTGGAGATTTTGCCGTGGAAGATGAGGCCTTGGCCTTAAGCGATCACTACTAGCGTTGACCTTGTCTGGGCAGCTTCACAGATCGGGACATGTGAAGTCAGGGAGAGATTCGACAACTTGACAGCAGTGTGGGTGTAGACCATCACTACTGCTCCAATCACCTGTGGATACGTGTGCAGATGTTGGGAGGAGGGGAAACAGGACAGTGGGGAGTTTGGGGAGGGGGAGAGACACGGGCTGAGGAACTAGAATCTAAACACAAGGTTTAGGAAAATGAGGTCTGGAAACGGGGTTGGGTGAAGCGAGGTTTGGAAACAGGGTTGGGTGAAGCGAGGTTTGGAAACAGGGTTGGGTGAAGCTAGGTTGGCGAGAACTTCGGCCCCACGAGACGGTTGATACGCCTAACAGACACTCCCGAGCAATCACTCACACCCGTATCTCAACTCTCAAGAGAGTTTACACTTCAATTATTACACACTGCGTTTCTCACCTCATCCATATCAGCAGGCGGCAGCACATAACTGATCCAGTCCATTTGCCACTCAAACAGCGGCGGCCAATGTTCACATGGTCCGTGCAGTGATGGAAAGGGCGCAATAACATGGTGGTAACCGCAATCCACATCTGCTGGCAGCAGCATGCACTTAGAAAGGTACGGAAAAAGGCCGATTGGTCTATCAGCCTAATAGCAGAGAAGATGCATGCTGCCTGTCTGCAACACAACACGTTGTTGTTCCTTGGCTGATGCCTGAGATAGGTACGAAATCCACAGCGTAACTCAGGCTTGGGCTCACCACACATAGAAGAGGAAGTGAATTGCTTTTTTTCCTCCTTTCCTTAGAAGTTAAAGGCCTTACGAGACATTGAGGAAGCGGCGGTAAAAAGAGAGACGAATGCGGATTACATGCATCGGGAAAAGGAAGAGAAAACAAAGAAAGGGCGATTGGAGCTTACAAGGAATCGGAAGAGAAAGTGGAAGTTCTTCTGAGACTGGAAGAATGTGCAGACGCAGGAGCGAGCAGCCAGGCACTTGACATTGCCCCTCGCTCATGCTGCTGATGCTGGCGCTGCTGCTGCTGCTGTATGTGACAGATGTATCACCACCAGCAGCACCACCATTCGCACCTCCTGCTCCTAGCGCCTCTGCCACCACTCTTTCCAGCACCTCAACAGCTCCGTACCACACACACAGTGCGCAAAGCTCTTCCACAGTAGGGTAATCTGAATTTAACGGATCCTAGTCTAATAACAAGGACAGGGAGGGTCGAGCCAGGCTGAGGGAAAAAGTGGGTGGCTGAGGGGCCAGAGGGTTTGGGAGAGTAACAGTGGCGGTGGTGCTGTTGGTGCTGTGTGCTTGGGTGTGGATGATAGAGAGCGTGGGGAGGAGGAGGACAGGTGGGGAGGAGGAGGAGAAAGAGGGGGGAAGAAGATGAGCCAGCAGGCGGAGCGATAGCGATTGCGTCTGAACATGAAGGGGAGTCGATCCCGAGAAGCATTCTGCAGGGGAGAAAGAAGGGCAGATGGCAAGACAAGGCAGGCAGGTATGAGCGTCGGGAGAGATGAACAGGAGGCAAGCTGCTTGGGTAATCCATTAGGTCAGACTCTGTTCTAGACTTTGAAAGCAGGTCCCACAGAAGAGCAAGTTAGAGTACAATCAACTCAGTCGTAGACTGCAGGCATGCAGAAACACAACACGATGGGAAAACAATGGAAAAGGAAAAATTGCAGTCACTTACTTTCTTGAACAGCTGAGTGCACTCCCCGAACCTCTCAACATCCATGCAAGTATGAAAACGCCTCCCTCTCCTCAACAACAATGGCAAATGGGCAGAGAGCAGACGACACTCACTCTCTTGAGCAGCTGTGCAGACGCTGAACCTCTCATCATCCAAGCAGGTGCCCCTCATGAGAAGAGAAACTCAGAGTACGAAAACGTCTCCCTCTCATCATCCTCCACCACTGCAACCCCTTCTCCCTGCCCCTCACCTCGCTCCCTACTTTTCCCGTCCCTACACTCCCCGTCCCTACACTCCCCGTCCCTACACTCCCCGTCCCTACACTCCCGGCCCTTCTCTCCCGGCCCCTAATCTCCCCGTCCCGTCCCTATTCTCCCCGTCCCTATTCTCCGGGTCCCTACTCTCCCCGTCCCTACTCTCCCCGTCCATATTCTCCCCATCCCTATTATCCCCGTCCCTACCCTCCCAGTCCCTACTATCCCCGTCCCTACTCTCTCCGTCCCTACTCTCCCCGCCCCTATTCTCCCCGCCCCTATTCTCCCCGTCCCTACGCTCTCCGTCCCTACTCTCCCCGTCCCTACTCTGCCGGTCCCTACAATCCCCGTCCCTACTCTCCCCGTCCCTTCTCTCTCCATGCCTACTCTCCCCGTCCCTATTCTCCCCGTCCCCATTCTCCCCGTCCCTACTCTCCCGTCCCTATTCTCCCCGTCCCTTCTCTCTCTGTGCTCACTACCACTATGAAACTCTCCGCAGCACTCGGCACCGCTCAGAGCCTCTCATAACCGCTCGTCACTGCTCCCCACCACTCACAGGCGCTCAACACCACCAACGACCGCACAGGACGGCTCAGCACCGCTCACTACCACTATGAAACTCTCCGCAGCACTTGGCACCGCTCAGAGCCACTCATAACCGCTCGCCACCACTCGTCACCACTCACGGATGCTCAGCACCACCAACAACCGCACAGGAAGGCTCGGCACCGCTCACTACCACTCTGAACCTCTCGGCAGCGCTCGGCACCGCTCACAGCCACTCATAACCGCTCGTCACCGCTCGTCACCACTCACGGGCACTTAGCACCACCAACGACCACACAGAACGGCTCAGCACCACCACTGACCTCACACAACGGCACAACACCGCTCTGAACCGCTCCCCAGCACCTCCGAACCACTGAGAGCCGCTCATCACCACTCAGCACCGCTCTTCACAACTCATCACCGCTCGTCACCGCGCGTCACCACTCACGGATGCTCAGCGCCACCAATGACCGAACACAACAGCTCAGCACCTCTCACTGCTGCTCTGAACCGCTCTGCAGCACTCGGCACCGCTCAGAGCCGCTCATCACCACTCGGCACCTCTCAGAGCCGATCATCACCACTCGTCACCACTCGTCACCACTCACGGGCGCTCAGCACCACCAATGACCGCACACAACAGCCCAACACCACTCACTGCCACTCTGATTCGCTCATAGCCACTCACAGCCACTCGTCACCGCTCCCAACCACTCATCACCGCTCATCACCGCTCGTCACCGCTCACGGGCGCTCAGCACCACCAACGATTGCAGACAACAGCATAGCACCGCTCACTACCACTCTGAACCGCTTGGCAACACATGGCACCGCTCAAAGCCACTCGTTACCACTCGGCATCGCTCCAAACCACTCTTCACCACTCCTCACAGCTCATCACTACTGATGGGCGCTCAGCACCACCAACAACCGCAGATAACCGCTCAACACCGCTCTCTACCACTCTGAACCTCTCGACAGCACTCGGCTCTGTTGAGTGATGCTACCATTCGCATTCACGTCTGTCTGCCTCCCATCATATGTTCGTGCGTTGCATGCGTGTTGTGAGTGTGTGCAAGAATTTGTGTTTTGTGCGGTTTGGTTTTTCTGAGTGTGTGTGTGAATGTTATTTGGCTTGAGCAGATATCTGAAGTGACTCCTCTGCTCAAGAGCTTTCCGAGGAACCAAGTATCGCTTCAATCGGAGCACGAACTAGAAAGTTACGAACGTTGGAGTTCGTATGCTTTTGATATTTGGTTGTGGTGACTATGGGAAGTTGTGGGGTTGACTCAATATGGGGTACAGACTTTTGGGGGTTGGGAAATTCGTCTTTTCTACTGTAGTTGCTGCCAAATGGTTGGGAGAAACCAAACCAGGTTGGCAAGTGTGGCCAAGTTGGGTTGAGGTGGATTGTGGAGGTTGGGATAGTGACAAAGGTCAAAGTTGGGTTGCCTATGGGGAAGGGAATTGTATGGCATGGGGTTTCCTTGGTTGGGGACTCTCTTGGGACCTTCCCTCTCGTCCTCCTTATCCCTTCCACCTGGTTTAGTGCTACTCTAATTCTCTTGTGTGAACTTGTGTGAACTTTGTGATTGAGTTAAGTTCTTATGGCAGCATACCCCCCTGTGCGCCGAAATTGATAAGTCGAGATTTACTTCACCTCTTGATACGTTTCAACTTGGGAATTGTAGCCACGGAGTAGGGCTACAACATATATGAGTTTAGTGAAGTTTAGACTGTGCACGTTTCGTCGACGGCGTTTCTTGTGAGCGCAACTATTCTGTCCAGAAATAGGGACCAACGATTTTGAGAAATTTAGGCACCTAATCTTCATAGACTCCGTCCTTAGTCTCTAACAAGTGGTATCAGAGCTGATTAAGGACCTTGTGGGGAGTCTACTGAAGTGTGAAGACCCTCCTAGACCCACCATGGCCTGTGGGCGTGCCTAAGTGGAGTTCTGGAGGTTGGATGTGACTTCCGCTAAGGGGAAACTCTGCCGAAATTTCGTTGGCGCTGACACTTGTGAAGATTGTGTGGATCTACATTGTGACCAGCAAAAGGGGGAGCTGAAACCTCTGATTGGGAGCAGAGGAGATGAATCAAGGGAGTGGAGATGCAGCTGAGAAGAGGAGTGAGCCGCCACCATCCAAGATTGAAGCTTTGGATGGCTCCAACTATGAGGAATGGAGCGGGCGGATGCGGAGCGCCTTCAAGCGCTACAAGCTGCTGAAAATTGCAATGGGAGAGGAGAAGATGCCGGGGGAAGGAGATGCCCGCGATCGGTGGATTGAGAAGAGCGCGGTGCTGTACGACCTCATCCTCCAATCGGTCAACAACGACATGTTCCAGCACATCAAGGATTTGGTGGAGTTGGATGATTCCGGACCGAAGGCATGGAAGCTGCTACGCGACGTGATTCAGCCCAACACGCTGCCGATGGTGATTGTGTTGGAGAAGGAGTTGGCTGCCCTCTCCATGAAACCGGGAGATGATGTGAAACCGGTCCTTGACAAGATCAAGGACACCTATGCGAGGATGGCAGCGGCGGGCAGCGAAGTGTCGCAGATGCAACAGTGCACCAAGATCATCTCGGTGCTCGACAACTCGTGGGACAACCTCATCCCCACCCTCAACGTTCAGCAGGACAAATGGACGCCTGAGTGGCTACGGCAGCAGATTCTGCAGGAGGACTTCCGCAGACGCCACACGGGAGGTGGTGCTGCCAACAAAACTGCTGAGGGGTATGGAGCTGCAGGAGGCAGCAGAGGAAGAGGGGGAGGGAGAGGCCGAGGCCGTGGGAGAGGCTTTGGCAGAGGGAGAGGCCGAGGTGACTACAATGAGGGGCATGGGAGCTCTGGTGGCAGGGGGAGCACCCGAATGGAGGGTGCGTGCTGGTACTGCAAGAAGGCTGGACACCCGTGGTTCAAGTGTTTCAGCCGGCCTGAGGGATGGGCCCCTCCAGGCATGAAGCCGCCAAGTGGTGAACGTGCACGCGGTGGCGCTGTGCAAGGTTCAGGTGCACAAGGTGATGGTGCACAAGGTAAAGCCCACCCTGGGATGTTCCTCATGGTTGAGGATGTGCAAGGGAGTGGGGGTGATGTGGGTTCAGTTGGGAAGGTTGTGATGCACCCCCTCACTCACTGGGTGATCGATTCAGGTTGCACGAGTCATATGACCCCACGGGCAGATTTGCTTGATGAGGTAAAACCTCCTGGGAAGATCAAGTTTGTGGCTGCCGCTTCAGGTGCTTTGCTCCCTGTGATTGGTGTTGGGAATGCCAAGGTGATGGGAGCCAATGGAGAGCTTGTGGGGCTTGGGAATGTGCTGTTGGTTGAAGGTTTGTCCGCTAACCTTCTTTCTGTGCGCCGGCTGCAGAAGAGCAAGGCTGAAGTTACCTTCGGCCCAACCAGCTGCCGTGCAAAGCTTGGGAAGTTGCTGCTGTGGAACTTGGAGGAGAAGAGCAGCTGCATCAAGGACTTGTGGCAGCTGCCCATCATCCCTTGGAAGGGGAAACCACCAGCAACGGCAAAGGCAGCGGCAGCAGCTAAAGCAACTGCGGGAGGAGAGGAGACTGCACCAACTGCTGGGCCCCTGGATGCAGTCAAGAAGGTGCAGCAGCCACAACAGCCACATGGTGAGGTGCTTGCTGGTGTGGATGCGACAGCTGCATGGGCAAAGGCTTCATCTGGGAGTGGTGAGGCTGATTGGGAGACGTGGCATGAGAGGCTGTGCCATGTGAACATTCCTATGCTGCAGAAGTTGGTAAAGGATGGGTGCTTGAAGGGGCTGGAGGTGAAGGGGGGAGCAAAGGAGATTGGGAGCTGCCCTACCTGCCTTGAGACCAAATTCACGAAGTTTCCCTTCAGCAGCAGCACAGGACCAGCCAAGGCACCACTTGAACTAGTGCACATGGATGTGGTGGGCCCCACGAGGGCCCTTTCTCTCTCGGGTAGCCGCTACTTCTTGACGATTGTGGACGACCACACGCGTGCGGTGTGGGTGTACCCTCTCAAGACTAAGGGGGAGGTGGCAGCGGCTGTTCTTAAGGAGTGGATGCCGAGAGCACAAAGGGAAAGCGGACACAAGGTGAAGGTGATCCGCACTGACAACGGAGGAGAGTTCATCGGCGCTGATTTTGAGAAGGAGCTGAAGCGGAAGGGGATCCAGCATCAGCTCACAGTGCCTTACAACCCTCAGCAGAATGGCGTGGCTGAGCGGTTCAACCGGACCCTGCAGGAAGGTGCTCGCACTCTCCTTGGGCGTGCAGGGCTGCCGGATCCGTTTTGGGTGACAGCACTGCGGCAGGTCGTTGTTGTGAAGAACAGGGTGCTGGCGACTGTGGGGGACAAGCAGTGGGTCCCCTACACCAAGTGGTATGGGATTGCACCAGCTGTGAACATGCTGAGAGCCTTTGGGTGCATGGTGGTGTTTCATGTGCCTAAGGAGAAGAGGGGAAAACTGGAAGCTTCTGGGAGATGGGGTGTGCACTTGGGGCTTGCTAAGGATCACAAGGGCTGGCTGATTTGGGACTTGACCAGCCAGCAGCTGACCGTGTCAAGGGATGTGAAGTTCCTTGAGTCCTTGTACTACAAGGAGTGGAAGCAGCAGCAGCAGCAGAAGCTTCCAACGACACCGCTAATTGTCGAGGCCGATGAGGTGCAGCGGCCTTCAAGGCAAGTGGAGGTTTCTGTCTCTGAGAATGAGATCTCTGGGGTGACAGAGGATGGGGGAGAACCTGAGGTGGAGGAGCAGCAGCAGCAGCAACAGCAGCAGCAGCCGCAGCAGCAGGAGGAGCAAGGTGCTCCACAAGGTGCTGGACGTACGGCTGACCGTCCTAGGAGGGATGTGCGCCCTCCTAACAGGCTGACCTATGCAAGCCGTGGCAAGCCAAAGGTGGTAAGGGCTGGGAGTGTGGCTGAGCAGTGTGATGAGGATGAGATAGCACACTGCTACTGGGCAGCCGTCCCTGAGCCCAAGAC